CTCCCCAACCTCGTCCTCCTCAGTCGCGAATTCCTCTTTCTCCTCTGCGATGGGAGGCAGCGACTGGGGAAGGGCGGCGGGGGCCGCGGGGGCGGCGTAGCGCCGGCGGCGCCACCGGCCCCGGGGCTGCCGTCGTGTCAGAGTTGAAACCTGGTCTTCTATCCACAGGTTCTCTCTCCGCCCTCCCTCCACCGTGGCACGGGCACCCTCCCCCGCCGGGGGCGACGTACCCTTTCCTCAAACCTGCCGTATACAAGGTCAGGCGCACACACAAGTCCGAGCCAAAAGCCCAAGAGTGTTTTTACCTCGGCCCGGGAATCAACACCAACCGTGCTTGGGAGTGGGGCAAGTTGGCACGGGACAGACACGACCCGGAAAGATCTCACCCACGGTTGTGAAACCGCCGAGATCACCGCCGCCACCGCCGACTGCAGTCTCCTCAGCGGGCTTTTGCTTCTTGGCCGGGGAGTTGGCGAAAGACTTAGACATGGATGAGCTGAAAGGAGTGGATGGAGTGATGTGTGTGCGTGTGAGCAGAGGGGCGCACGTTGCTCGCGGGGAATTTCTGCCCAATACGTCCCGCCGCGAAGCCCCTTGTATCCAACAACAATGTTCGCAGACCCACGAACAGCTGCACTGTTCTGTACAATTGTAACGGATAGTAGTCGCTTGTGTGCTTGCAGTACCGAGCGCGCCCACGGGGGGGTGCGTAGTATATTTTTGAAAATGTTACTACCCCCCACTTCAGTAATCTCCGCTGTCTCCGCTATCTCTCCTGTCTCCCCTGTCTCCCCTGTCTCCCCCGAGGCGCTTGCCCTTCTCCACCGGCTCACACAAGTGTTCTCCTCTCTCCTTGCCAATTTGCGAGCACAGACCAGCACCAGCGAGCGCTGCCTTCTCCGCAGGTCGCCGCCGGCGGCACCAGCGACCAAGGACTACCTGCACGAGAGGCAAGTCCGCGTATCTTCCGTCCGCTGGGTCTGCTGGGTCTGCTTGATCTGCCTGGTCTGCCGATAAGACGTGAGTTGAAAAGGGTACAGATATCATTTTTGTCGCGCGTCGTATCTACGACGTTCGTGTTTGTCGACAGAGCTACTGGCTGCATCGATCGACACATGTGATATAAGACCACGCCTGTTGGATAGCGCAGGCGCCGTGTTGTGCACGAGGTGAGTTCCGCTGGTGGTGCCAAGCCTTGTCTTTTGTCTTGTTTGTGAGTCGGTTGCCAGTCGAACCCCGATGACCATAGTGTGCGTGGTTGCCTCACGCAGCTACAATATTTCCCAGCCGATATCACTCGCCGCCTCTCCCTTTCTCGACCCACGCCCCAGCCGGTCCTTGCCCCCACGGGCCTCAGTCACCCGAAGTACAGGCCAGATATTTGTCGATATTTGAACGTACGTTACTCTAGAGATTTTGTCGTGCGTTTCATGGCCTCCCTGGGCCATTTTCAAAGCTCGATTACGCCGCAGCAAAGCGTGGGGCGGAGCTGAAATTGGCGGTGCGGAACCGTCTAGTCTATTAGAAAGCTTTATCTCGTCTACTAGAGCTTCTGTTTATTCGAGAGCTTTTGTCTCGTCGGGAGCTTTTTTTATTTATTTTCTTAATATCACACAATAAATCCATCTCTATCTAAAGAAATACGTCTAAGATAGATTAGCAATGAATCCATAGCGTGAGCGAAAGGCTACCTGTATGTCTACGGTTTCCCAGACAGCATACAACGATAACTCCCCTGTGGGTAACAGGCTCAACAAGGCAGTTTGGTAGCCATCTTGTGTATCAATCTGTATGTTATGTTGGGAAGTTGTAGACGGAAGATTTAGGGGAACTCGGTTTGTCGGGTGTTCTATTATAGCACCCTTATGTGGTTGCGGAGCAAGCGCGTTTCGGGTTATGTATAGTTTCGTCATCAACTTATGTTTTGCTTGTGATGTATGGATGTTTTGAGGCTTCGAGGGCCTTTGTGTCTGTTCGGGAGCTTTGTGTCTCTTCAAGAGCGATTGCCTCTCCGAGAGCTTTGTCTCGTCGGGAGCTTTTGTCTCTTGCGGAGCTTTTTCTTGTCAAGAGGTTCTACCGCTCCACAAATTTTGTAGAGCAAGTAGATGTTGCTGTCTGCGTGACCAGCTTTCTTCTGTCAATTCTCTAATTGTCTCGGTGTGCATCCAGCACACACCTCCTTTGCTTTTAAAATTTGAAGTGGTGTGTGTTTTCCGCCTCGTTTGCACGGGCGATGATCCTGACTCCAGCTGGTGTTAGCGTGTTGCGGTGCATGATCCACTTGACCCGGTGATCCCGTTGTTTGTCTTTTTGGTCCCACTCGTGACAGCACCGCCCTCCAGCATGTCGAGACCCCCCGCTGTCGAGGCTTCCCGGTCAGCAGGGGCATCCAGGCGAGGGCACTATTTACTGACATAAACACCCCCCCTACCGCACATCTAGGGAATGTTATGGCATTTTATCTTTTTTTTTTTAATTGTGTCGTGTCGAGGTGTACTGTTTTTTGGTGCGATTGGCACTACATAAAAAATATATAATTATTTCGCACACGTAAGTCACCATCTCTGGCTTTTGTACGGTATTGGTAATGGATACAGCATGGGCGGCATTAGTGTCGGTGGGCAACGTTTGTCGGACGGTAAACGGCACGTCAGGGCGTACTGCTTTACCCTGGTCAAAAAGCAACCCAGCACATGCTTGTCCTAAGCGCAAGTTACTATTCTGAGTCGCTCAGACTGCAGGTGCTTACACTGTAGATATCGTTGTTGTATTTCATGACCTCTGGTATCTTGTGTGCTACCCCACGTACCCCATCTCCAAAAAATGGGAGTCATGCTAACTGCTCCACGCCCCGAATATTTGGGGGAATAGTATACAACACGTTGAGGTATACCCTGGCCGACAAGCGACTCAGCCGGGTACGTGCTTTTACTCAGGGGGAAACCAGCCTTCTGAATGGTCGACGTCAACTATAAACCTGCTGTGTCACAAGAAAGCGTGGGGTACACCCTGCCGCGGCTAGTTTTCTCTTGCCAATTGTAACCTGATTCTTTGGTGATGTGCACGACCCTGATGGGAAATGGGACCCTTCCATGGACCATTTTTTCCGCGGAGATCAGTTTCTGCTCCAACCAAAGCATGCCAAAACACGAGCCTTCCAGGTCCAAACAAATTATGACGAACACCGCTGGTTGACAAGTTGACTGAAGCAGAGCGGCATGCAACATCCCAGAAAAGCAATGAATGGGTGGATTATGGATTGGTTTCGGTGTGAGAGAGTCCCTCCCCTCTCTCTCTCGGCCACCACCCACCCACTGATTATTTTTCTTGGATGTTCCATGCATGCTTTGCTTCAGCAACTTGTCAACCATGCTGTGTTCAGTCATGGAGGAGGGTGTCTCAGATGGCGATTGCCACCATTTGTTTGGAGCTGGAAGGCTCGTGTTTCGGCATGCTTTGGTTGGAACAGAAACTGATTTCTGCGGACAAAATGGCCGATGGAAGGGGCTCGTTTCCCGTCAGGGCCGTGCACATTACCGAAAATCAGGTTACAATTGTCAGAGAAAATTAGCCGCGGCAGGGTGTACCCCATGCTTTCTTGTGACACGGCAGGTTAAAAGTGGGCATTGACCTCTCAGCTAGGCTGGTTTCACCCTGAGTAAAAGTACGTATCCGGCTATGTCGCTTTTCGGCCAGGGTATACCTCAACGTGTTGTATACCGTTCCTACAAATATTCGCGACGTGGTGCATTTTACACGACTTGCATTTTTTGGAGATCGGGTACGCGGGGAAGCACACAAAATACCAGAGGTCATGAATCTAAAGTGTAGGCAATCGCAGTCTGAGCGACTCAGAATAGTAACTTGGGCTTAGGACAAGCTGTGCTTCGTATGTTTCCGTAGTTCGCCACTCCTCGAGCTCGCTGACATTCATCCCGATGGGTGGGCGGGGTGTGTTGGATCGGTAGCCAGCCCGCCATTGGCGATGGGTGTTTGTTCGAACGGTCATCTCAGGAGACTAACAACGGGTCAGCACTGACTGACTGTATTACATCCATGAAGAGGACCAGCCCCGCTAGACTAGCGAGCTCTTTGTAGCCTAGCGTGGTTGATGCTCTTCACGACCAAAGGACGCTCTCTTTTTTTTTTTTTTCTCCCATCATTGAACTCTGTCGTCTGCCCCTCTGGCCCCTATCCTCCACTTCTACTAGCTAGACGACCCAACCGGGGTCACATAGGAGGGGGGGGGCTGGACCCCCTCCTGCGGTTCCTGCCTGAGGTATTTTTATCGCGAGAAGGGTACAGCAATCCCTTCCCTCGCGACTAGCTGATTAATCTAGTGCCTTGACCCCTCCAACCAACATGAGTGGGCATGCGAGCATTTCGTTCACTCGCAACCTGTAATCCAACCATCGTGTCTGGTGTCTGGCGGTGGTGTGCGTGGCGGTGCTATTAGTATAGGCGACTCACCAAAGTGTACATGTAGCGCGCTTGTCGAAGCGCTTGTGTCTCCGTGTTACCGTACGTCGCTGTGTCGTTTGGTTGACCTTGGCACATGTTCTTTGCGTTTAGCGTGATGCCATGCACGGGAAGCTCATCATTACAACCGAAATCTGCTGACATCGGTCCAACTGGGGTAATGTTAATATTATCATAAGACCGGTTGCGTAACGTCGCGGTTACCTATGTGGTGTGTTGCATCTGCGATGGGGGAGGTTCGCCGGTCGTCACAACCAAGACGAAGTATTGGGCCCCCGCGTTGCATGTTTGTATTACAGCTGGGTTGGTTGGACGTGCTTCTCTACACGTAGGGAAAGAACCCTTCACTTTGGTGCCAGTGAAATGGCAGTTCGCATTCAGAACGCCGCATTTCTGCTCCCCATGAACGGCCGTTTGCTACGGCTGGTATCCCCAAACAAGAGAGCCGTGTGTTTTGATGTATAAAGTGTAGTGGGGTGGGGAGTTCGTCACAATGTATGCCGTACCCCGATTGGCAAGTTTTTTTTAGCTGTGTTGTTTCTACGTCCATCACACATGGTCTGTTTGTTGAACGTGATGCCATTTAGGGGAAGCTCGTCATTACAACCAAACTGCTGACATTGCGTCCAACTTACGTGTTGTTTATATGATCAAAAGACCGGTTGCGTACCGTCGCGGTTACCTATATGGTGTGTTGCATTGCGATGGGTAGGAGTCACGAACATATTGGGCCCCCGCGTCGCAATTCTTGTATTACAGATGGGTTGGTTGTTGTGCCTTTCTGCATCCATAGCAAACCCCTGACGTTTGGGCCTGTGAAGCGGCAGTTCGCCAGCATTTCTGCTTCCACTTAAACTGGCGTTCGCTATGGTTGGTATCCTCAAACAAGAGAGTCGTGTGTTGGTGCATGACGTGTAGTGGGGTGGGGTGTTCTTTAAAGTACGCCGTACCACGATTGGCATGGTGATTTAGTCCGGTTGTTTGTCCGTCCTTCACACATGTTCTGTGTG